GGTGAAACCCCGTCTCTACTACAATACACAAATGAGCTGGGCATGGTGGCGCACGCCTGTAATTCCAGCTACTTGGGAGACTGAGGCAGGAGAATTGCTTGAGCCTGGGAGTGGGAGGTTGCAGTGAGCCAAGATCGCGCCATTGCACTCCAGCCTGAACGACAGAGTGAAACTCTGCAGAGTGTCCTGTCTGTGCCCTCGGGGCTGCCATGGTTTTGGGTGGGCCAGAGCACTCATCCTTCGTGGTTCTTGCACAAGTTCTGCAAGCAGTGTGTGGGAGGCCCCGTCACCGTCTGAGGGCGTCCTGGGTTAGAATCTCTGTAGGTACCTTTCCGGAACCGGAGGCCCCGTCACCGTCTGAGGACGTCCTGGGTTAGAATCTCTGTGGGCACCTTTCCGGAACCAGAGGCTGGAGTGCAGATTTTGTTCTTTGTTTCTGAATTGCAGGTATCCTGTGGTCTGAGGCCATCTTCCTCGAGGCGAGGCCCCAGAGGAGGACCAAGAGCGTGGATGCCCTGAAGAAGTGTGAGCATGACCCTCATGTGCTCCTGGCCGTGGCCAAGTGAGTGAGGCGTCCCCACAGGATTGCTGACCCTCGGGGTCCTCATGGGCTCTTTTTCCAGAGTCTGTCTGCCTCTCCCTGGTCATTGTAAAGATGCCCACTGGCAGAGTGGGCTCCCCCGATCCTTGGCTGCTGTCACTCCTGCTGTGGTCCAGGGCAGGCGCCTCTCCCGGCAGAGACAAACCTGAGGGTGCTGCAGCATCACCTGGGCTTCTGTCCCAAAGCCCTGGGGAGGGACAGCCAGTCTCTCTCTCTCTCTCTTTTTTCTGTTTCTCTCTCCCTCCCTCCCTCCCCAGGGATCCCCTGGGTGTGGTTCAGCCCTTCCTCTGTTCCAGCTTCTTCTAGGAGGCTGCTCTCTTCGTCTCTGCAATTTTTTAGTTTACACCTACACAGGCCTGGGTTACAGGATAGATTTGCTGATGTTGGTTCACACAGAATTTTAAGTGGTAAGCGAAGCCCCTTTGGACAAGAGGCTTTATGTTGGGGCAGGAAATCACTTGCAGCTCTGTGGCCTGTAAATAATCCAGAGCTGGAGACTGGAGCCTAATTTGTGTGCCCGGGGGTGCCACGATGACTGCTGGAGGCTGTCTCAGAAGACGTGGTGTGAAGGGGAGGCAGAGATCCGTGAGTGACCTCACACCATGTGATTCACACTCGGGTGTGCTGGCCGCTGGGTCAGAGACTCGCTGGGGACATGACTCTGGAACCTCGCAGGCAGCTGCTTGGAGTCGTGGGGCAGAGCGTGCAGATTCTAGGCACATGTGGGCAAAGGCCTGCCACGTGCGGGGCACAGCAGGGAGCTCGGGGTCATCCCCAACCCACAGGGTCTCTGTTTCCTTCTAGAAAGAGGATGACAGTCTGAGAAGGAGCTGGGCCTGAGTGTGCATCAGGAGGCTGGGAAGTGACCATGTAGGGGTGAAGGGAGTTCTTAGAAGAACCCTGGGCTCCTGAGGCTGCAGCTCAGGACATGGGCTCACCTGGCGGAGGTGGTGTGTCTGACCCCAGCGGCGAGGGGCCTCACCTTACGTGCCCGGCTTCCCCTCCACCTGCCCTGCCATGGGTCATGCAGAGACAACAGCCTTCCTAGTGCCAGCTCTTGATTCTCTCCATCCCTTCTCCCCAGCACTGGGTGGCAGTGGTGCTTGGTCTCCAGAGGTCTGGGTGCTGCCCCCGTAGGCCTGCCTGTAGGGGCACCTCCTCTCCCCTGCCCGCGGGCCCCCGACAGATGAGAGAGGCTCCCCACAGGGAGGCTTGTGTCTGCCTGGTGCTCCCTTGGTCCTGCCCTGTGCGTCCACCTCCCAGAGTGACTTCTGGGTGACACTCTGATAGTGCAGCCATAAAACCTTATAAAAGGCTTTGCTAAAGTAAATAAGTCACTCCTTGCTATTCCCAAGCCAGTGTTTTGTGTGCCTGCTATCTGGGTTTGTGCTCCTTAAATCACAGTTTATCTAACACTGGGCAATTAAGAATACCACAAGGCTTAAAAAACAATCAGGTTATCAGAGTGTGAAATTATTCCGTTTGGCGACTGAGACGAACCCAAACAGCTGCCTGGAGTGGAGGGGTTCCTCTTGTTGTCTCCTGACTGCAGTGCCTCTGGCTCTACGGGGAGGTGACCCCGAGGAGAGGGTGGGAAGGGTGGCAGCAACGCAGAGTCCCAGGCCTGCCAGCGTGCCCAGCAGGAGTGCCCGCCATCCTTTCTCCAGCAGTTTGCGGGAGTGCCATGCACACCCCCAACCTGGCCTCTGATAGTCCAGCATGGACCTCTTCAGGCCTGGTTTTCAGGTGTCCATGTGTCTGGCAGGCACGGTGGTATCAATCCTGTGGCCTGAGGTCTGTGGGCCGCAGGCCCAGGCCCTGGTGCTGCCCGAAGTCCATCTTCTCAGTGTTCACTGGGGTTGCTGCTGGAGGCCAGGCGGGGCAGGATGATCCAGCAGGTGTCTCAGTGAGGAGCTGAAACTGTGTAACTTTCCCTCATCAAAGTTGTAGTTTAATTTTGTGTCAGGTTTAGTTTCATCTCCTTGTATTTGACCCTAATTTTATGGAGTTGGAAAGTCTTTCCCTGCGTGTGAATTTTTAAAGAAACAATTTGGGCCAGGCACGGTAGCTCACGCCTATAATCCCAGCACTGGGAGGCTGAGGCAGGTGGATCACGAGGTCAGGAGTTTGAGACCAGCCTGACCAACACAGTGAAACCCCATCTCTACTAAAAATACAAAAATTAGCCGGGCACGGTGGCACGTTCCTGTAATCCCAGCTACTCAGGAGGCTGAGGCAGGAGAATCACTTGAACCCAGGAGGCAGAGGTTGCGGTGAGCAGAGAGCGCACCACTGCACGCCAGCCTGGGCGACAGAGCAAGACTGCGTCTCAAAAAAAAAAAAAACGATTTGGTTAGACCTGTGAAGGATGACTTCAAGTTAATGATCTGGGGTAATTTCCAGATCAGCCCAGGCCCTGCTCCTTGGGCCTTCTTGTGGGGAGCTCCAGGGCTGCGGGTCAGGGATGAAGCTGATGGCCCTGGAGCCCTTCCCCTGCCCCAGGACACTGTCCTGCAGCCACTCACTCTGGTTCCCGTCCTTCTTCCGGAACAGGCTGTTTTGGAGTCAGCGGAAGATCACCAAGGCCAGGGAGTGGTTCCACCGCACTGTGAAGATTGACTCGGACCTGGGGGATGCCTGGGCCTTCTTCTACAAGTTTGAGCTGCAGCATGGCACTGAGGTGAGGCCCCTCGGCAGACCGCCGCACAGTGCCGTCCGGGACTGTGGTGGGGAGTTCCGCCAGCCCCGGGGGCTCTAGGAGGTGGCCACGGCCCGCATGACTCTGCCCGGTGTTGGGAGGATGGACCGGGTGGGTGGGGCACAGCATCCTCGACGCCCCCCAACAAGGCAGTCTCTGCCTCCACATCCGTTTTCTGCTTATGGCCTCACAGCTCCACACCCTGGAATTGAGGTGCCCTGTCCCTCAGAGTGGCCTGTCTGTATTTTAATGAGTTACTTGCTGGCTGGGGCCTGGGCTCGCTTGAGGAATGGGAGTGGAGTTGGCCTTTTTCTTGGGCCTGAGCCTGGGTATGGCTTTCTAGGAGAGCCTGGACAGCAGCCCCTCTGCTCCCACCTGCCCCCCAGAGCCAAGCGTTGTCAGAGCCGTGCTGGAGGCGGTCAGGCTGTCCTGGTCTTCCCTGGAAAGTGCTGCCAGCCCACATGAACCCTAACTCCTTGTTTGGAGAAGGCAGATGTGAGCACTTGTGTGAGGCACAGACATGGGGAGCCTGGCTCAGCTCCTCATCTGTGCGCTGAGGCTGGGGGGTCCGTGCTCCTCAGGCTCCTTCGAGGAATACGCCTGAAAGAGCCTTGCCTTCCGGTGCAGGGCCTGCGCCCCCTCGCCCACCAGTTGGGGTTGGTCCTGCCAGAGCCAGGTCTGCATGGGGGCAGGCGAGAAGCAGGCGAGGTCTGGGGAGTAGCGTGGGAGGACCCCTGCCTGAAGTGCCCTGTGGTCCCCCCAGGAGCAGCAGGAGGAGGTGCGGAAGCGCTGCGAGAGCGCAGAGCCACGGCATGGGGAGCTGTGGTGCGCCGTGTCCAAGGACATCGCCAACTGGCAGAAGAAGATCGGGGACATCCTTAGGCTGGTGGCCGGCCGCATCAAGAACACCTTCTGATTGGCCAGTCGCTCGCCGTGGCCGGTCTCTGTGGGGCAGGGTTGGGCCGCACGTGGGAGGGCCTGTGGAAGGGCCCTGAGCCGTGTTCTCCTTCATTAAAAGTTTTTACATCTCGTGTCAGAGCAGGCAGCCTGCTGGTTTTCTCTGGGGCCCTTCCCTGGCTCCTGCTTCTGCTGCCCCAGTCTGGCCTGGCCTGGCCTGTCCCACACTGTCCTGGCGTGGCTCTGATCACCCTTGCCTGGGCAGAAGCCTCTTGCAGATAGCCAGTGTCTCACAGAGGAGGCACTGTGGAGGTGCCCGGGTTCCCCCAGACTGTAGAGAAGGTGGTGGGAGTGCAGATGTTCTGGCCGAAAGCCCTGTGTGGGGACAGCTGGAGATAGTGGGGACCGAGCTGCCTGCAGGACCAAGGTGCTCGCAGGAGCCTGGCAGCCGCCTGCAAGGGTCTTGGTCAGGGGACAGCTGGGCCCTCCCTGGAGTCTGAGTGCAAACAGAACTCAGCTCTGCCGAGGGCCTCTCCATACGGCCTCCCAGGCCCCTCAGGCATGTGCCGAATGACAGTGTCACCAGTAAGAGGCGTTCTTACCTTTGGAGGTGAGTTTATTTATTTATTTATTTTTGAGACAGAGTCTCGCTTTGTTGCCCAGGCTGGAGTGCAGTGGCACGATCTCGGTTCACTGCAACCTCTGCCTCCTGGGTTCAAGCAGTTCTCCTGTCTCAGCCTCCCGAGTAGCTGGTACTACAGGCGCCCGCTCCCAAACTCCTGACCTCAGGTGATCCGTCTGCCTCGGCCTCCCAAAGTGCTGGGATTACAGGCGTGAGCCACCGCGCCCGGCCGTGAGTTTATTTTTGCTAATTTAATCTTAAAGCACTGTGATGGTTCTCATCTCTAGGTTGAACGTTGCATTACCTGGGAGGGTTGGCTGCTTTTCAGCCTTAGCTGCATAAGGATAAAGGACATCGTCAGGCCTGGGATCGTGTGTGTGTATCCGGCTGGGAGCCAGCTGGCTCTTGTGTAGGCCAGGGCTGGAGCCATCTGGCTGGAGCTGGTGGCTGGCCCAGAGGGTGTGGGTGGACAGCTGTTAAGCCCTGCAGGGGAGGAGGAGGGCACTGTCACGTGGGCCAAGAAGGCTGCTGGAGAGCAGCTGTCCCTGGACGCTCCTTGTGAGAGGGGAGCCCCGGAGGGTCCCAACCTGTTTTGTGGTACCAGTGGCAGGGCCTGTGGTGGCGGTCAGTCACTGACCCACAGCTCTGCCCTCCTGCACGTGGGGGCCCGTGCTAGGCCTTGTGGTCTGCCTGCTCCTGACGAGTGAGAATGGCTGGGGTGGGGGTCCCTGTCTGCACATGGGGTGGTCCTGGTAGACCAGAATGTGGGTGTGGCTCCCCCTTCCCTGTGGTTCTGGGGACCTCGAGGACATGGCCAGTCCAGGGCAAGGGACCTGCCATCCGTGTGGGGTCAGGAACTGCTGGTTGGTCTCTGCTGGGCAGGCAACCTGGGGTCCAGCTCAAATCGTTGAAATCTGGAAGTCCTTCCTCTCGCCCCGTCCTGAGGAGCAGCTGCTGGAGCTTCCTGAGTGTTTTCATTCAGACTTGTGGAGGAGTTTCCTTTGATCTTCCGTGGAGACATGGAAGCATGAGGGAGCCTTCAACATCTACTCTGAAGACGAAGAGAGAGCTGCAGCTTTTTGGAGTTTGTAAAGTCAGCCCGGTCCTGTACAGATGTGGACACCAAGGAAGTTTGTAAAGTCAGCCCGGTCCTGTACAGATGTGGACACCGAGGCCGAGGACGTTTGTAAAGTCAGCCCGGTCCTGTACAGATGTGGACACCGAGGCCGAGGAAGTTTGTAAAACCAGCGCGGTCCTGTACAGATGTGGACACCGAGGCCGAGGAAGTTTGTAAAACCAGCCCGGTCCTGTACAGATGTGGACACCGAGGCCGAGGAAGTTTGTAAAACCAGCCCGGTCCTGTACAGATGTGGAAACAGGCCTAGGAAGGAAGCACTTCTCTGACCTCAGCTGGGTGGGCATTGAGGGGTCACACAGAAAAGAATGTATCAGGCCGTGTTCAGGGGAGGCTTCCTGCAGGGCCCCTGGAAAGTTCCAGAGCACTTGCGTTGTCCATGTGTGTCTCCTCTTTCTTGCCTGTGTGGGGTTTTCTCAGATGCTTTGAGGCCAAGCTACAGTTGTGCGTCACTTAACGGTGGGGACACGTTCTGAGAAACACCTCCTTAGGCGATGTTGTCTTGCAGATATTAGAGTGCATTTACCCAAGGCTGGCAGGCAAGGCCTCCTGCACCCCCAGGCTGTGTGCCAGAGCCTGGGGCTCCTGGGCTGCAGACCCGCACAGCCTGTCACAGCATTTAATCACATCCAAACACAGAAAAAGCAAAAACGTAAAGATGCAGTGTTACAATCCTAGGGGACTCCTGTCACCTGTGTGGTCTGTTCTTGACTGTTGTGTGAATCACTGACTTTTCCCCCTGGGAAACTACCTTAACCTGTCTTCAACGGAGATTTTTTCAGCCCACAAAGGTGAGTTGTGCCTCGGAGGCTGCTCTTGTCCTGAGGTGTCTTCACCACGGCCTGTCAGGCTGCAAACCAGAGTGCCTGCCCCAGACGGCAGCAGAAGTGACAGCAGCCAAGGATGGGGACCCAGCGAGACCCCTCAGCCCAGGAGGAGTGAGGCCGGGCCAGCAGCGGGGGCCCGGGAAGCCCCACGTCTTGGGACCTGCTGGGGCAGGGCCCCCTGGATGTCAGGCTGCAGGTCCGGCAGCTGGGGCGGGCATGAGGGCCTCCTGCCAGCTCTGCCCATCAGCCAGCTCCCTGGGAGAGGCAGCACTTGCTGGCCACAGAGTTGGCCCCAGTCTCACCTGGCTCCCCTCCCCCACCAGCTGGGCCCTGCACCGCCCACACAGCGCCCCACCCCTCCTTGACAGAACAGTATCTCGGACTGACAAGTTAATCCAAGACCCACATCAGCCCTGGATCCCCTGGGAGAGGTGGCTACTCAGTTCCAGGGCCAGGTTAATTGAAGTGCTAGGGAGTGGGGAGGAGGGGGCAGGGCTGGGATTGCGTGGCCTCCTTCCCTCTCCTGCTCCCTCCCTCAGCTTGGAGGAGCCAACTTCAAAAGCCTCCGCCTGGCCTGCCCCTCTGCAGTCCTCCAGGCAGCCTGTCCAGGGAAGCTGTCGGCTGGTGGTGGACCTGGTGCGGTGGTGCACACCCCATCCGAGGACCCCAGGATCATGTGTGTGGCCTGCTGGCGGGAGTGAGGGAGGGCAAGACGCTGAAAGGCCCATGGTGAGCAGCTGTGGGCCTCCTCTAGGGAGGGGCTCACGTGGGTGGAGGGGCTCACGTGGGTGGAGGGGCTCACGTGGGTGGAGGGGCTGGGGATACACACAGCTCAGGAGACACTGCTTGTTCCCCTGAGTCCCACCGGGAAATCTCCGGTTGGTTCTGGTCACTGTGTCACTGTGGGTGGCAGTGGGTGCATGTGCCCTGGCTTCTGGTAGTTGGGCGAGGGGGGCTCCCGGGTGCCGGGCCACCCTGTTCTAAGCTGGGCTGAGGCTTGAGCCAGGAAGTGGTACTAACAGGCCAGGTGGGACTCCCAGGGCAGCCTGTCTGCCCCACCTGGGTAGGACACAGCAGGTGCTGGACATCCTTGCAGCTCCAGCTGGCCTGCTTAAGAGTCAGGCGCTGGTTTTCGCTATGACCTCTGACCCAGAGCAGGCAGAGGGGATGACGTGGCAATTCTGAGCCCACCAAGTTGGCCGTGATGTGTGTGGTTGGGGGGGCCAGGTTCAAGAAGGGGGCCGTAGCAAGCCGTCTGCTCTTCCAGCCATTGCTGCTTTGTGCTCTGAGCAGGAGCTGCCACCCCCACCAGGCCCCCAGCTCTAGGCGAGGGTTGGGGTGCTGCTTGGTCAGGCTCCCCTGCCAGGGCTGGGAAGCCGAGTCGAGTCCTGTTATCTCGGTCGGGTTCGCCTGATTAATTTTCCAGCCCTAGAGCTGCTGTCTGACTCCATGCGGGGGCCCAGGGGAAGGTTTGGGGCTGGCCCCTTTTGAGTGGCTGGGAACCTGCGGGCCATCAGCTGTCTCCTTGATGTTTGGGCTTTTTCCCTGTGGGAGCAGGCCCTCCACTTTGGGTTGGCGGAGGCCCGTGGCATAGGCTGCCTGGAGCGACGGCGTGTGGCGGCTGGTACAGGCAGAGGGGGCTTTTGCAACTGTTGGTTGGGGCTGGATGTGGTGGCTGCTTCTTCCTCTGTGGCTTCTGGGATTCCCCCCAGCTTTCCCCTTCCAATAGGGTGCAGCTTGGAGCTCTGAGCCCCTGCCCCAGTTGGGTCGGAGGTACAAGGAGTTCTCCAGTCCCCATGTCTCTGTGAGCTAACCCAGAGGGCGCCAGTGTGGGAGGTGTGGAGTTGAATGGGCGTGGCCATGGGTGGGACAGCCTGTACTGGGACAACTTCCTACTGTACCCCCAAAAGCCTGCAGACCAGCCCCACTCGAGCTGTGCACGGCCAGGTGGGCCTACATGGACCTCCTACATGGACCACAGAGCCAGGCTCTCCTGCCTCTGGCCCTGCCCCCTCAGTCTCCTGCTGGGCTCTTCAGGGCTCAGTGACATGGCCTCCCAACCCACATCACTCACCCCTTGCACATCTTTGCAGGGAGCATAGAGCTGTCTGGTTTGCAGACTTATCTGTTGTCTCTCCTGATTTATCCCGCCAGGCCTGTGCCTACAGCCTTCCTTGGTTGGTGACACGTCCATTTCATAAGGCTCAGAGATCCCGTGGGGTGGGGCTTCTACGGAGACAAAGTGCAGGCGGGCTGGCTGCTCCCTGTGCTGGGAACCCCCGCCCCCAGGCCTAACCCCAACCTGCTGTCTCCTCCAGGTATCCCCCAAGCCTGCACTCTGGGCGCTCCTGTTGGCGCTGCTGGGGACCGCGCCAAGCCGCGCCCATTCCCCGGCCTGCAGCGTCCCCGACGTGCTTCGCCACTATCGCGCCATCATCTTCGAGGATCTGCAGGCTGCCGTGAAGTGGGGCGGGGCGGGGGCCGAAGAGACCAGGCCAGGCTCCAGACACTTTCATTTCATACAGAAAAACCTGACTAGACCCGGGAGCTCGGGACGGCGGGGACGGCCTCGGGCCTCCTGTGGCGCCCAGAAGGTATGGAGGAGGCGCCCCTACCCAAGTTCGCCGGTCTGCTCCTCTCTCTGTCTCCCCCCACCCCCACCCCCACCCCGCCTTCCTCCCTTCCCTCCCCAGGAGCACAGTATCCTCCTGTCCATCTCATCCCTGGGTCGGACCCTGCGCGGGGCGGTGGCCGGGAGCCGCCGCGGTGCCCTGGAGAGAGCTGCGTGGACCGTGGCTGTGCGCACCGAGGCGGTGATGCGGCGCCACTGCAGGACGCTGCCCCAGGTGTGCGTCCCTGAGTGCAGCCGGGGCCAGACCTCCCCTAACCCCACAGGGCCGCCGCGCGTCCCGGGGCTCCACGGCCCTAGGCTGAGGTCGGGCTGGGCGCGGGGGCCGTGCGCATTCGCTGACCGCCCTGTCCCCGACAGCGGAGCCGGCGGCCCGAGGTGCGCCCTGCCCGGCGTCGCGGCGGCCGAAGGCAGCTCCTGCTGCGCGCCCTGGACGCCGTCGCCACCTGCTGGGAGAAGCTCTTCGCGCTGCACGTCCCGGCCTCCAGGGGCTCCTAGCGCGGCCCGGCCTGGCTCTGCCTCCGGCGCCCTGCGCGGGGAGGAGAACCGGCGGGGCCGCGGCAGAGCCTGGAGACGCGCCTCGTTTTGTCGACTTGTTGGTGACCTCGGCTCCTCGCTCGACGCAGCCCGCGCTCCCCGCAGGGCCCAGGACTTGGAGAAGGGAGCGCGCCCGGCCGCCGCTGGGTCTCGGAGGAGGCCCGCCCTCCACGCGCCGAAGGCCTCAATAAACGGAGCTGGCGCTGCGGGTCCGGCACTCCCTTCGTCTGCCTGTCTGTGGGCCTGGGACCGCCCCGGGATCTGCGCTTCGATGGCGGGAGGGCGGTGGAGGGGGAATGCGGGGACCGGCACCTCCTGTGGCACCTGGACGGGGCGGAGCCGCCGCTCCCAGCCTCGGGCAGCAGAGGGCGGGCGCGGGACGCTGGGCGCGCTCCGGCTCGGTCAGCTGCTCCCGGCTGGGCGGAGGGGAGAGCGGGGGACTCCTGGGGCCCCTAAAACGTCACGTATCCATCCTGCTCCACTTTGGACCGGGGCCGGGGGTGGAAATTGAGGGGAGGGGAAGGCTGGACTTGGTGGATTCGGAGCAAAACAACCGGATAAAGGAAACGGGCCCGAAGGGAAGCGGGAGCTGCGGGCCCTGGCTGTGAGCTTGGCCAGGCTATTTCCTGCTGCCTCAGGAGGGGTGGCCACGGCCTGGGCTCAGAGACTGCCCAGCCTCCTCTGTAGGACTGGCCAGGCTGGGGCCTGCTTTCTGGCCCCTGGCACCCTGCATTTGCTGGGGGACTGACCCCTGGTTCCCTCATCTGATGCACGGGTCTGGGAGTCTGTCACCCCCTCCCTGATCTCGGCCCATGGAGGAGCACAGGAGGTAAAGTCCCTGACACCTGTCCCCTCCCCTTCCCTGAGAGGCAGCGAGCAGGCTGTGCCTCTGGCATTCTTTGGGATCAGGGGCAGCAGAAGAAAGAAGTAACCTCTCAAGCTAACCCTGACCCAACTCCACACTCTGTGTTAATGTATTTAGTCTGTACAACAAGAGCTACTGTCTGTTTTATAGATGGGGAAACTGAAGCACGAGGAGGCTGTGAGACTTGCCCCAAATCACAGCCAGCAGTGTAAGAGCTGGCCTCAGACCCAGGCCCAGGGCATGGGCTCTGCCATACGTCCCCTGCCTGGAGGCTGGGGACCAAGCTTCCTGGACTTCAGAGCCTGGGACTCACCTGCAGAGTTAGCACTTCTGACAGAGTCCCTGGCCATGCTCTGAGCACAAGCACCCAGCAAGCGTTCCCAGGCCTAGTTCTGCATTGCCTGCTCCATGGGGGCCAGCGTGGGCAAGTGTGGGAGGGACGAAGGGGAGAGGCAGGGTGCAGGAGCCCCAGCTGGAGCCAAAGCACTTGAGGGAGGCACCCGGACTTATCCCTAGGCAGCGGAAGGTCTCTGGTGAAAGAGGGATGTTAGAATTGGGAATCTAGAAAGATCCCTGCGGCTTGTGTGGAGGGCTGGTGAGGATGAAAGGGTGAAGAGAGGTCCAGGCTGCCCAGGGTCCTGGCTGGAGTACGTGGGTGGGTCTTTGGGGAACCTGAACATGGGAAGCACTAAAGGGGGAGTGGGTCTGTTTGAGGTCCCTGAGGGAGCTAGGGAACTGTGGGCGACTTATGCTGGGGTGTGGAGCATAAGGTATGGACAGCAGAGCGTGGCTGGGAGGCAGCTGATTTGGGTCCCGGAGAAAGAAAAGAATCCAGGGTTCTGGGCTGGGCTCAGGGACAGGATGGGGATAGGCCCTCCATGAAGGCTCCCACTGTCACACTGCCCCAGGGGCAGCTGACTTCTTGCGCTTAGACCTGCCCCAACCCCTGGGCCATGGGGAGGGCACTCCTCTCCTGTCCATGCATGACCTCCTGGGCTGTTCCATGGCTCCTGCCCACCCACAGTGCTCCCGTTCCGCTGTTCAGAGCAATCAGAGGCTGGGGATGTGGGTGGGCAACAGAACAGCTCCCTCTACCCTGACTGAGAAAAGTTCAAACAAACCACAGCCTCTTGGGGGCAGGAGGAGGAACAGAGGCCTCAGGGTTTTGGGGACACATGTCCGTGCCTAGTCCTGGACCACAACCACATGGATGGGTGAGAAGCCCTGTGTCCTGGCCCATGGCTCCTCCCCTCATGCAGAATGGGAGCCAGGTGGACTTTGGGCTTCTGGGACAAAGTTCACTTGTCCAGGGTGGCGACAGCCCAACCAGACTAGGTGTAGGGGCATGTGTGGAGCTACAGGAAGAGGCCCAGAGCTACCGAGAGCCACAGAGACTAGGAGAGAAGCCTGCTCAGACCTGAGAGGCTCAGGTCCTCTTTGGGTTCAGTGCTGGGACCGTAGCCCCTCTGTAGCTCCATGAGGATAGAGGCATGTCTCCCTCAGTGTGGTACACCAGCACCTGGCCCAGGCTAGCACATGAGCTGCTCAACAAATGTTTGTTGCCTGGACCTGACCAGAATCAACCCAGAGATGGAAAGAGACTCACTGGCCCCACGGCCGATAGGGACAGAGCCATTGGCCATGGAACCACTGAGGGCAGATCCCATGGACTGGCCCTGTATGTCCATAGACCGACTGGTGGTGCCTTCCCTGCAGAGGCCCAGGGCAGGTGGCCTGAGCCTGGTTCTTTGTAAAATACTGTTTCTGGGTTGGAGCTGCACACAGTACTGTCCTGTCCCACCCTCATGCCTTCTCAGGGCTTGGCTGCTCCAGGGAGGTGGGGGCTGTGCCAGGGTAACAGATGGGGCCTGCAGGGCACTGGCTGGGGTTGTGCAACTTCCCACAGCTCAGGAGTCAGACCCCTCCATGTGCAGCGCTGGGAAGAGGGGGCCAGGCAGGCTTTGAAGGGGGCCTGGGTCCCGAGGCCTCCCCAGACTGGGCGCCTTTGAAAGAACATCTGGAACTCGGGCAACTGGCTAGTCTCTGGATTTGCAAAACCAAAAGTTAATCCTGACTTTTCCTCTTGTGTGTTCCCCACCCCTGCCCCCAAGCTCCTCTCTCTCCCCACCCTACCTCCACCTCTTCAGCGGTGGGGGATGCAGCCTCTCATGATCTCCCAAAGCACCTTCCCCCACCACCACCGCTGGCCCCCACCCCAGCCTGGGAGTTCTGCTGAAGCTGACCCGAGGGAGGTGGTGGGAAAGATGGATGTTGTCTCAGTACCCAGGCCCTGTGAGCGGACAGGACAGACCACCACGCCGTAGCTGGAGATGGCTGGGGAGGAGTGTGAGCAGTCCTCAGAGGAAACAGCTGCGCCCAGACCTGGAAGGTGCCCGGCCTTGTGTGGGCTCTGAGCCCTGCAGGTGTGCAGGGAGGCCCCCCGTGCTCCAGCTGTGGCTGACTCGGAAACAAGTTCCCCCCAGCTCCAGGAAACACACACTCACGGGTGGGGGGAAGCCAGGTGCTGGGGCCCATTGTCTCTGCCAGTGCCTTCAGGACCCTAGGGGAGGCCCAGCGACAGCCCCCATCCTGCCCCCTCCCCAGGAAAAGACCCAGCTTTGTAAACACAGAAACAACCATCGCTCCTCCCCGCTCTTCCCCCTCCCCATTAAAATCCGGAAGAGCCAGCGGGAGGTCGCACCTGCTCGGGGAAGTGAGTCCTTGTTTTGGGGGAAATGAGGAGGTCAGGCCTCTGGGGGCCGGGCAGGGCCGCGTGCGCTGGGGAGGTGGGCAGCCCTGGGGCTGGACGCGGGTTCCCGGGTCGCCTTCCGGCCTCGTTCCCGTCGGGAGGTCCCAACACGGGCGTCCTCGCAGCCTCCCCGCCTGGCCTGGCCGGATTGTGACAGCCGCGGTCAGGGGCAGAGGCGGCCAGGGCTCCCCACCAGGTGAGCAGGCCCTGTCCTTGGCGCCCCCTGCCCGGCTTGAGGCCAGGGGTCCGGGCTGCGGCCCGAGATAAGCGCCGCGCCCGCCGCCGTTTCCTGCACTTCCAGCGCCGCCGCCGCGCGCGGCTTCCTGTTTTCTCGCGCTGGCGGGCGGGGGCGTGGGGGACGGGACAGGGGTCGTGGGGGATGGAACGGGGTCGTGGGAGATGGGGCGGGGTAGTGGGGGTTGGAACGGGTCATGGGGGATGGGACGGGGTCGTGGGACACGGGACAGGGGTCGCGGGGGACGGGGCGCGGTCGCAGTAGATGGGGCGGGGGTCAGGGGGACGGGACAGGGGTCGTGGGAGAGGGAGCAGGGTCAGGGAGGATGGGGTGGGGTCCCGGGGAACAGAGGTTGCGGGGAGCAGGAGCAGGCCAGAGGAGTCTCAGTAAGAATGAACTTGGCCGCGGCGCGATGGCTCCCGCCTGTAATCCCAGCACTTTGGGAGGCCAAGGCGGGCGGATTACAAGGTCAGGAGTTCCAGACCAGCCTGGCCAACATGGTGAAACGCCCGTCTCTACTTAATAATACAAAAATTAGCCGGGTGGGGTGGCGGGTGCCTGTAGTCCTAGCTCCTCGGGAGGCTGAGGCGGAAGAATCGCTTGAACCCGGGAGGCAGAGATTTCAGTGAGCCGGGATTGCACCACTGCACCCCAGCCTGGGTGACAGAGCGAGACTCCGTCTCAAAAAAAAAAAAAAAAAAAAAAAAAAGACAAAAAAGACGAATGAACCTAGCTGCTCCGGGAGACCCTGCTCCTTCTGCAGCACTGGAGCCGGCTCTTCAGGCTCCCTCCCTGGCTTGGGGCAGAAGTGGTGGGTGGGCCGGATGGAGGGTGAGCCAGTCCCTGTAGGGCCTTAGTTTTGAGGGGCCTGTTTGGGATTGGAGGTTTGCAGCTCTGGACCCCCCTTTCCGGGGCAGCTGTTCCAGTACATGGGTTCCAGGTACTTAACCTATTGTTCAGACTTTGTTATTAGAGATACACATTTTTGCAATTTTAATAAAAACACATCTACACCAAACATTGCACAGAAATGTTCATAGCAACATTATTCATTATCAATAACATTATCATTATTCATGATAGCCGAAAAGTAAAAACCATCAGTGTCCGTCAGTTGCCGAATAAACAAAATGTGGTATATTCATACAAGGAGAGGAGGATACTCAGCCACAAAAGGATTGGAACGCTGGCAGGCCACAGCATGGGTGAACCTCGGAAGTGTGCAGGGTGAACCAAGCCAGACACGAAAGGCCACATGTTATCCCACTTATAAGAAATGTCCAGGCCAGACACTGCAAATCCACAGAGACCAAAAGCAGTTTAGTGTTTATCGGGGCAGGGGGCAGGAAAGACTAGGGAGTAATGGGTTTCTCTTGAGGGTGATGAAAAGCTCTAAAATTAAAGCTGGGCGTGGGGGCGCACACCTGCACTTCCAGCGAGGTAGGGAGGATCACTTTTCAAGGCTGCAGGTTCTAAGACCGTTTCTGTGAATAGCCTCTGCACTCCAGCAGCCTGGGCAACATAGCAAGACCCCGTCTCTTAAAAATAAATAAAGGCCAGGTGTGGTAGATCATGTCTATAACTCCAGCACTTTGGGAAGCCAGGTGTTCAAGACCAGCCTGGGAAACATAGGAGTCTCTACAGCAAAGCAACAAGAAGCATAGCTCCGAGGTAGAGCATTTGACTGCAACAGACAGGATGCTCTAAAATAATATAGTGGAGATGGTTTCCAGCCTTGCGACTACAACAAAACCACTCCATTGCAGACTTAAATTTTTTTTTTTTTTTTTTTTTTTTTTTTTTGAGACGGAGTCTCGCTCTGTCGCCCAGGCTGGAGTGCTGTGGCCGGATCTCAGCTCACTGCAAGCTCCGCCTCCCAGGCTCCCGCCATTCTCCTGCCTCAGCCTCCCGAGTAGCTGGGACTACAGGCGCCCGCCACCTCGCCCGGCTAGTTTTTTTTGTATTTTTTAGTAGAGACGGGGTTTCACCGTGTTAGCCAGGATGGTCTCGATCTCCTGACCTCGTGATCCGCCCGTCTCGGCCTCCCAAAGTGCTGGGATTACAGGCTTGAGCCACCGCGCCCGGCTGCAGACTTAAATTTTATGTAGACTTTGTAGAATGTAAGTGGAGCGGTTTAGTTTTCTGGGGTGCTTTTCCTGCTGAGTGGTGGGGGCTGAGTGGTGGGAGGCTCGGGTCCCCACGTGTGCCTTTCTTGCCTGCCCCAGCAGGACCTTGCTGGGGTCAAGTCTGCTCTTCGTCTGGTGTGTGGCTGGGTGTGTGTGTCTGTGTTGGTGTTCTCAAGGGTGTGCAAAGTGATGACTGTATCTGCTGGGGACAGAGGTGCACCATACCGGCTTCCAGCCTCCATTTTCTCTGACTCTGCCCCTGGGCTGCCTGCTGGGGAGAGTTCAACACCTCACTCAGCTCACTCCTGGGACAAACTGGATCCTGGGCATGGGAGAAGGGAGGGGAGCTGTGGTCAGCGCCAGGCAGGGCTGCTAGAGCTTCTCACCAGGAGCTGAGGCCTGACTCAGCAGGAGGAGGGTGGAGACCTCCCTCGGAGCCTCAGGGAAGAAGGCAGACAGGGCCAGAAGTGGGAGGGGTGTGCAGCTGGTGCCAGAGCTGGAGCACCCAGGCCCTGGGGCTGTGGTCCTGCCTAGCAGGGCTGTTCAGCCTTTGGCGGGTAGAGGGGAGATCCCTGGGCCGGGCCCTGGAAGAGGCCGTGTAAGGAGACCCCACCCACCGCTGCTGAGGGCCGCAATTGGAACCAGGTGCCCTCACTGGAAACCTCTTTCATGTCCCCTTCTGATCCTTCTCCTGGGCATTTCCAGCCTCTGGGCTGGGACTTGCTTCAGCTGGAGCCCCCCACTAGCCCCCCACCGTGGCACTTGGAGGAGGGGCTTCTCACAGGTACCCACTCTGTCCCTTCCTCACACAGACCATGAGGCTGTGTTGCCACCCAAGGTGTCTTCCAAGCTCTCCACCCCATTGGTCTAGAAGGGGGTGTGATGGGGGTGAGGAGTCCAGAATAGGGGATGCGTGCTAGCCGTGAGACTGCCACTCCGGCCTCCCCCAGGCTGTCTGTCTGTGTCCGTGGGTGTTACTGGGGAGATGCCCAGCCCTAACAGGGAGTCACTGGAGGCCAAGGGCGGGGGCTGTTCACATGAATAAATTCAGCAGGACAGGCTGGGTCTGTTGTCTCTCTCCTGCCCTGGTTGGGGGTTGGGGGAGGGGCAGGTGGTCTCATGCCTTGGTCAGCCACTTGTAGACTCTGGCTATTGGGTCACCCTCTGGCTGAGATCCCCATGGAAGGGGGTGCATCTTGGGCCTGCTGACCCCAGGACTCCAGGGAGTGGGCCAGAGCAGGAGTTGGTGGCCATGAGAGCTGGGTGTGGCTTGCACTCACCAGTGTAAGCATTTATCTCATGGTATGAGCCCATGAAGAGTCCACATTGGTGCCTCAGAGACCCCCCACTCCCCACCGAAAGACAGATGTGGCTTGTGTCCCTTTGGGTCTCACCTTCTCTGCTTCCCTGCTGTGTACTGGCAGACAGTGCTTGGAAGACATGGGCAGTGACCTCAGTGTCCTGTGGGCTGTGTCTGTGCCTGTGCCTGCCTGGTGCATCGCTCTCTACCTCCGAGCCTGTCTCCTGCCCTCTTCAGCATCTGTTTCTCCTTGTCTGTTTCTGTCCCCTCTGCATGTCTCTGTCCCTTTGTCTTTGAGTTCTGTGTGCTCTGCTGCCAATGTGGTGGGGAAGGGGCCCCAGGTGCAGCCCCTACTGGGGGTCCATCTGAGGGGTGGCACTCATGCTGATTAATACAGAGGTGACATGCCCTGCTCCAGGGAAGGGTAGCTGTAAAATAGCCCCATTTCACCCCCTCCACACGCACTCAGGCAGCAGGCACAGGTCCATCCTGCCCCAGGCTGCATATCCACGTGCCACCCACACGCTGTCCCGTGCATGAAGGGCCACACTGGGAGTCTCATTCACACACACACAGAACCACAAGACACACTCAGAGGCGTGCACGCCCCCTGCACCTGGGAGGCTGAGCCGTGAGCAGCTTTTTCCACACCAGGGCGGTCAAGTTTCACTCTCCCCACCGACTGACCCCCTATGCAGAGGGGGTGCTGGGGCAGGA